AAGTGGAAATGTCGGGGAAGTGATAATGTCGAGGAAGTGATAATGTCAGGGAAGTGTAAATGTCAGGGAAGTGGTAATGTCAGGAATTGGTAATGTGGGGAAGTGTAAATGTTGGGGAAGTGGTAATGTTGGGAAGTGGTAATGTCGGGGAAGTGGAAATGTCAGGGAAGTGGTAATGTTAGGGAAGTGTAAATGTCGAGGAAGTGGTTGTCGGAGAAAGTAGTGTTGGGAAAAAAATTTGTCAGGGAAATAGCTATGTCAAGGAGGGGTTGTATCGGGGAATTGTTGTCAGGAAAATATTTTCGGAGAAAGAGGTGTCAGGGAAATAGTTGTAGGGGAAATGATGGGGAACCATATATTCAGACTCAGACCAGTCTCAGACTTCGGACCAGACTCAGACTTGACTAAAAAGTCTGAATATAAAAGTCTGAGTCCGGTTCAAAAATCAGACCAGACTCAGACTTGACTAAAGTCTAGTTCGAGTCCAGTCTGTAGGAGCACTAACCTTTTCTAGCAAACTATACTAATCATATCTTTTAGATATTCCTCAAACAATCGAGCCTTCTTAGGATTATTAATCTGAATTGGTTTAAGTCGCATATGTAGTATATCCACGCTACTAGTCTGTACTTAGTATTCTATTAGTTTATTCTATCCTAATTCTGATATATCAAAGGCAAACGTCTTTGATACTTCATTTAGCAGATGATTCATTATATATTGCTTCTCTTCTACTGATAAATTAGAACCAAAATTCAACATATGCATATTTTTCATTGTCAATTTCTGCAATACCACCGGCCCTGAAATTTCTGTTTGATCTTCAGTTTCAAATAATGTGTGATCTTGTGACTTATCATAGTCATTCAGAAGATTATTATTCTCATCAGTTCCTTCTACTATATTTATCCCAGTATTTGCTATTTGAATACTTCTAATAGCTATTACTTGATTAATTTTCTCTTTGTCTTCTTCGTTATAATCATCTAATTTATCTTCATCGTTATTTTCAACCCAATTCTAT